TATTGTTTTTATTCTTATCATAAAGATTATTGAGGGCAAAGAGGAGTGTGAGTAGGCACCCAGGTGTCAGTGCTACCCTGGATGTAAAAAGTCTACCCGCCAAACACACTGCAGGGGTCCCCCATTGAAACCTCTCTAGCAGGTGCATCCTTTAGAACTTATCCACTGCTCTCAAGTATTTACCCGTGTGTGTTCCCTCCTTTAGCTTGGTACTTTAATAATTATCATTACTTTAATGATTTGTAGCCATTTTTGAATCCCATTCTATCTTCCGATTACTGAAAAATTATATACTCACGTGAAAGTAGCCTAATTTTACTGTGCTGAAGATTTTTCAAGTAGTACAGATGTATCTAATGTCATTGAATTTTCTTATTTCTCCTGAAAATAACTTAGTAAGCTGCATAGGATATTATGTGGACTTTTTTTTTGATATGTAAATCCCAGGATATAGCAATAGCTGAGTCCAAAGCCATAGACTTGATTGTATTTCCTTGTATTTTAAAACCCTTCTAGTTGTTGTGTTGAAAATAAGGTTTATATGGCAACATGTTCAATAACTATCAACTTTTGTAACTGGAAAACTCATATTGGTTTATATAAAAGAAACCAGTTAGAGACATTGAACCCCAAACAAAATAACTAGGGTTATATTTATTATTAAAGGAAGTTGTGAACTAAACAATAGCATTCCAGTTATGTGGCAATGATACTGCATTTGGTTAGAAGAATCACTATTAATCTGGAATTTAGTTGAGAATATCATGTAACCTATTCCTAGTACTGTAATTATTTCAGTAGAAAAAGTAGTTTCATTCTGATCATCTCTATCACAACAAACAGAAAATGCCCTTAATGATAAATCTTATTTTAGCTCTTTTGTTTCCGATCTTACTGGGAAGATACATAATGTACACCAACTCATATTTTCCCTCATGGATGTCTTCCTTATATCACTTATATTAGTAATGTTAACACCCCCTTCCAATTCATGGGTATGTCAAAGACTCCACTTTGCCTTAATGTTAATTGAGAAAGTAGGTGTTTACACTGAATTCCCAATGTTAAAGCACAAGCTATGATTGCAGCAATAAACAGTCTGTCTGTTGCCTTCATTTCTCAGTCAAAAAATGTTATCACTTAATTTCATTTATTTTTAGTGTGGAGCAGTTTCTGTATTAGTGCACTCATTAATATTCAATGCCTTATGGAAATATACTTGTTTTTAATTCATTTCCATTTTCATTGTTGCAAAATGTTTACCAGTTTATGGCATGAGATGTTATTTACATTTCCATGTTTGGGTTGCCAGAATTTCTCCCAATCAGACATAAACATAAACAACCACCTTGATTTCACAATTATCTCATTTGTTGTGAGTGGTAGTGAGGGGGCACGAGTTAGCATCCTTCACACATTACTGAAGCTTAAAATTGGTAGATTTCCCAAGGTGATTCAGGAGAAATTAATCCTACTTCCCAGCTTTCTAGAAAACAACAACAAAACTAGATTGTTTTGACAAATGTCAAATTGGCTCAAATTCAGATCCAGAAGAATCATCATATATCTTGCCTCAAAAAGAAGGTAGTGATATGTTTAAAACACTTCACCTGTTTTCATAGAGTTATTTCATATTGTATTAGTCATTCAGGAATTATTTAAGTCTAATGACATTCCAAGGATTCCTGGTGGTACAATGATTAAGTGCTCAGATGCTAACCAAAAGACCTACAGTTAGAACCCGCTCAGCAGCTCCACAGGAGAAAAACCTGGCCATCTGCTCCATAAAGACTGCAGCCTAGAAAACCCTTTGAGGCAGTTCGACTCTGTCACTTGGGGTTCCTATGAGTCAAAATTGACTAGTAGACAGCACCTAACTACAATGTCATTCCAGCATTCCAAAGCTGACTGGTTTCCTAGATTCATCTTGACCAAAGAGTTAACATTTATTTAGCACCTGCACTGTGCCAGTCACTCTGCTGGGTATATTTGATCATTTGATGAGAAGCACTGTAGCAAGATGGGTAAGATCAGAGTCTTGAGTTTGTATCTTTCCTCACTCTTGGACTTGTTAGGTATGTGACGTTGAGTGTCTTGGTTAATCTCTGTGTTTCAGTCTTCTCATGGTACAATGAGTGAAATCCTAGAATCTACCTCATAGGGTTGCTGTGACTAGGAAATGAGTTAATATAAGTAAAGCACTTGGAGCACTGCTTCGCATGGAGTAGACATGCAATAAACATTAGTCATTGGCATTATTCTCAGCATACCTCATCAAGTGAGGTGCCATTATCCCCATTTTACTGATCAAGAGACTAGGGCTTAGAGAGTTGAAACCATATACATAAAAACAACAGAGGAAGTCATAATTTAAAATAAAAGCTTTTATCACTGAATTATATTGTGATTTTTTTCCCATTCTAAGCACATACTGATAGTTTCTGTGATTACTGAAAAAAATGGCTATCTGTATCACTTCGATATAGTAGTTACCTTCAATCTGATAATTGCAAAGAGCATTACTGCAACACATTGTTTGTGTGTGGGGGTGTGTGTTAGGGGGTGGACACAGGACTTTTTGTTTTTAAACTTATTACTTATGGCACGAAGCATAAAAATGTTAACATTTCTCTGAATCAAGATGCCACAGAAGACAACCCAAGGAAATCTGTGACCCAGTGGCAACACTCTGTAGCCTGATTGAAAATAGGATCAAAATTCACAAAAGCAAAATGAAATAAACTGTTGGATCATATGCAGTGGTGCAAATATTGAATTTTTAAGAGTCCAGGTCTCTTAAGAGTGACTAAAAGTCTTCTGTAAGCACCCTAAGATTCACTGATGGATGTATGCACAAGAACTGAAGGGCATCATGGAACCCATTTAGATTCTTGAAAAGTGGGCTGTCCATTCCACTTGTTTTTACAAGAAGTTTTAATTTGATGCCAGACACATCTGAATGTACCTTATGTACTATTTGTTACAGAATTTATTGGTAAGTGGTAGAAAAAAATTTAAAAAAACCCTGAACTAAGTAGACTTTCTTTGGTACAAGTTCGCTTAATGACTGTGTAAACTTTGGAAAAAAAAATTTTTTTTTCTGAGACTTAGATTTACATTATTTAAAATTTTATTTATGTTTTATCAAATCCTGTTAAGAGTTATTTTATGACATTCCCAAAGCAATCCTGTGGAAGAAGCTGACAATCAATAGTACTCCCATTTTATAGCTGAGGAACGTGGGTTTCAGAGAAGTGACTTCTGTCAGGTCAAACAGAATAGCGAATGGACTTGGAGTAACTAATAAAAATAGTATTTACTCAACTCACAATTCTAAATCTTTAATGTTTGTTTAATCCTCCAACAATCTTAAGTGTGTGCTACTATATTTCTCTTTTACAGATGAGATAACTGAGGCATGGTAAGGTTAAGTATCTTGCTCAAGGTCACACAGCTAATAAATGGGAAAGATAGAATTCAAGTCTAAATAAGCTGATTCCAGTTACCACATGTTTAACTACTTAACCACACTGTCTTTCTGGGGGCGATAAAAAAAGTTACAACCTGTGGTTCCTCCAAGCTTCTCTTTCACGAAAGTGGTGGGAGTATAATAAATAAGCTTGTCATAGGAATGAGCTCTGGATTCTTTGGCAGGAACTGAATATTGTATTGAAATGTATTTCAGTGCTCCTAAATTTGTCTAGACCTTACATTCTTGTTTTATATGACAGGAAGACAGAAAACAGCCTTACCTTATAGCATTTGAGACTGAGGCTATTAGGTTTGTGATGTTGAAATAAAAGTCTGCTCTTTCTGCTCCCAAACTGACCCTTGCTAGGAATATAATGGGGTTTTGAATTTAAATGTCCGTAGGACTCAAACCATAATTTAAAGCTACAGAGGCCGGGCTTCCCAGCCACTTAATCCGCAAGCTCCCTTAGAGTTAACTCCTTTATCACCAGATCCAGCAATGGATACCGGGCATGCCCAGTTACACGATTAGAGCTTCGCACGGAGTTTTCACTTTGTCCAGGTTTTAGTAGCAGCAAAAGGAAGGAGGAGCCGGAGGGAAGAGTTAAACAGGTAGAGAACTTGGTTTTAGCTCAGGCCGACCACGACCAAGGTAGAGCACGGAAAGCTGGGGGATGCCGAGGGGCGACGGCCGAAATCACCTTGTCAGCTAGATTTAAGTCTGGTCCCCAAGTTGGCGCGTTAGCCTGGTGGATCTCGAACGCCTTTTTGGCACAGCCAGAGGCAGATTGTGAAGGTTTGGGGTGGTCATTCAGGCCAGGCCACAGTAAGGGGTGGGGCAGGGACGTTAGACCTTGGCGCATGCCAGCGCCTCTGTAAGTCCCTCCTGGCCCTGCATTCCTGGAAAAGCTGCAGCTTTTTGAGGGTTCCAAGCAGGAGTCCAAGGTGCGCAAGTCAAGCCAAAGCTCATCTTAATCGCAGACTGCTTGTCCCCTTCCCTTCGGCTGCTCAGCCCTTCGCTGGCACTCTCTCGGGTACCCCCGCCCAATCAGGACGAAACCCCGGAGAAGTGGAGTCTCCACACAGCTCTCCGTGGGTCTAGCAGGGGCCTGGGCATGCTCAGTAGGCTCCCTGCTTCCCCTTTCTCTCTCTCTCTCTCGCTCGCTCTCTCAAGGGGGTGTGGGGGGGAGGGTGGTGACAAGTTAGAAGTGCTTGCGGCAGGTCCCCGCCCCTAGAATCGGACTACCCCTACCAGGGGGACGATGCAAAGGTAGAACTCCCTCGCTCCGCAGCGTGGGGACCCGGAGGGGCTGTGCCCGGCCGGCCGAGCCCAGCCATTCCCCAGCCTGAGGACGGGCCCGCCGCTCTCCATGGTACTGCGGAGAGCTCAGCTCCGCCTTTTTCTTTCGGAAGGACAGCACCCAGCGTCACGTAACCCAGCCTTCCCAGCTCTTTCCCTCTCCTCCTCCTCCTCCTCCTTCTCCTCCTCCTCCTGCTGCTGCTGCCCTCCGCTGCCTGTTCTCCCCTCCCGCACTCCTGGAGATAGACGCTCAAGCCTGACGCCTCTGAAAAGGCAGCGGCAGTCGCCTTAGCCATAGACCTCAGGAAATTCGCTTTGACCGATGCATACTTCAGTCTCTGGCTCGAGCTAAAGGGAATAATCGGGCAGGTAAAGAAGCTCAATTTGGGTGAGGGGGAGGGGATGGGGTGAGGCAAGCTGGAGAAGGCTATCTTTCCGCGTTGTAACTGAGCCAGGATTTGCCACAAATGCACAGAAAAGGATGGGCGGTGGGAGGGTGGGGGAGTGTGGATCTTGGCTGTTTTGTATGGAGCCTTTTAAATAGATGGCAAGAAGATGAGATGGTGGACCTGGAGTAATAACTTAAAGGCTGAATGCAGTGATTTATTAGCAAAAGAAAGAAGAGAACGGGCAGGTTAGAAATCAAAGCAATAAAATATATCTATATCGTTTATTTCCTCCTCCATCAGCCCCATGCTGTGCCTATCCTTAATATGTGCAATCGGCTCCAAGAAACTGCACTGGGATTAGAGATGGGCTTAGAGACTGGGCGGGAAAGCCAGGGAGAATTTTGGGTGTGCATTGGTATTGAGGGACTCTGCAAAAGCCAGGAGCAAAAAGATAGCCACTTCTTAAAAATCTTCAGAAGATTTCAGGTTCTTCATGATGGCATATATTGAAGGGTGCATGGAAAGGTGTATATATGTACGTGTGTGTGATAGCCTAAGCATATTAAAATAAATATAACAGCAGCTGATGAGCGTATCGTATCGATCGTTCCAGTGGCTTGGGAATGAATTTGATTCTAGAAAAGAAAGAAAAGATTAATGAGGCTGTAAGTCAGCTTTGAATTAGAGCGCTTCTTCCTTTGGCTGCAGTAAGGTTGTTTTTCCCGATCCTTTTATTTCATCCTCTAATTTGTGAACTCGCCAGGTCTTTCCGGCACCTAGAGAGAATCCTCTTTCTCCATATAAATACAGATACTCTCTCACACACAATGAGCTTCCTCTAAGAACTGGGAGAGCCAGCCAGCCTCCCCTGTGATAAGAATATATGCATAGTCTTCTAGGTTTTCCACCCTTCTTTTCTTTCATCCCTTAAAAAATTGCCAAGGTGTGCACTAATGGAGGTGAACAGGAGGGATGGGTGAAAAGAGGTTATGTGATCTATGTAATATTAATTAATAAAATAATTGGCTCCAATAACAAAAAAAAAAAAAAAAGGTTTTCTAACACACAAGCTTGTGGATGGACTCAAAACACTGTTTTTGATCATGACATTCCAGATTTATTTTGCAAATGACTGAGAAATTGGCAGATTCCCAAGTCCAATTAAATACAAGAGTATATTGAATAATGTGCTATTTTAGAAGGATTTCTAAGAGCACCTTTCTTTGGACTTGGTATAGAGAAGATGAGATATGATTAGTGATCGCTGATAGTGTGGAAGTATCAGCCAGATTAAACAAGCAGCCGAGATGTTTTATTTTCTTTTGCTAGTGGGCAGTGTGTGTGTGCTGAAAAAGAGAGAACCAGTCATCAATATCATCTAGGAAGGAACTTGAAGTGGGATCCCCTAGCTTGGTGGCTATCAGCTGACACCTGTAGGGATTGCTCTGTACTGAGGAGAAATGCTGTCCGCTCCCTCCCTGGAGGAGCCGTAGCACAATGCGGTGCCATAAATTACTGCTAGTTTCAGCTTGTAGAGGAAAAAAAAAGTGTTAATTGGACAGTGAGCTTCTGTGTCCAGGTAATAAACTGTGTATGTGAGTGTATCCGTGAGTGTGTGCCTGTGTTGGAGTAGGGCTGGGGGAGATAGTGAGAAATAGTGAGGGAAATACATGTGTTTGTTTGATATGACCAGGTGATACATTTGTGATTTTTTTCCCCTAAAACTGAAAGTCTTTTTAAGTAAAAAAAAAAAAAAAACAGCTTAGAAACAAGTCACTCTTTATGATTTCTGTGCCATTTCAAGAATCTGTCAGATTAGAGGTGACTAAAGAGAAGTGATTTAATAGTGTAGTGAGTGATTCAAAGGTCTGATTTTGAATTCTAGCATCCTGGAACCATAGCAGCTGAGGTGACACGCACGCCAACTGCTGTTCTGACCACACAAATTCTAAGGTCTAACACCCAGATAAGGACTTCAGAAAGAGTTAAGATCACTACACTGTTAGGTAAAATACTAAACACTTTATCCAGCTTTAGAGGAGCTAATATGGCAATTGTAGAATAAATACTGCCAAAAATATATGTATCTGACTCCAATCAGATGTTTCTCCTACAGCATGATTTTCCTTTAAAAAAAAAAAAAATTAAAATTTTAAAGGAGACTCCCTAGACACAATCAATATTCCTTCTCTCTCCAAAAATAAATAAATAAAATGATAGGAATGTTCTACAAATCTAAGCTGGCAGTTTCCTACCAACAGTTTGATATGCTTTGCCTGTTGTAAAATCTGCTATTACCTGAGATCTGAATAGATTTCATTGCTACTGTCCATGTAACACCACATAATATAATTTGCAGTCCTTAAAAGGACTCTTCCCCCCCCCCCTCCTTTTGCTATATTTTGAATATTAAACTTTTTTGGAAGAAGTAAAAGGTAACCACAACCAAGTCTATTTAAAACCTGTTACTAACAGTTGTGATAAACCCCAAGGGCGTAATGGTGATTGTATGTGTGATCTTAACTATTAGGAGATATTAGAGCTTATTTGTAGGCCAGGGCAAATAAGCTGCACCCAGTAAGGTTAATTCTTTGTCTTATTACCAGCTTCAGTTATATACCTAGTTTCTGAGCTGAATAATGATTTATATGAGACTATAAATTACTGTAGAACTTAATTTTGATTTTAATTCTCTGCAGATTGCTTGGTCCTTACAAAAAGAAAAATTTAAGCCAAAATGCATCACCAACACATAACCAGTTGATATGCGGGCATCTTAGCTTGGTCTTGCAGAGGAGGAGAGAAACGAAGAGGAGCTGTTGTGATGTCTACATCTTAACAGCTTAGCGATTTCAGTTTCTGGGTTTGAGCTCCACTGCTGGGGACGGAAAAATAGAGGCAAAATCCAACCTGTGAGGTCGTGCGCAAGGATTCTTTGGCTGCAGTGGAGCTGGAAGTCCATGATATGACAGAAGAAGCAGGCCTTTGAAGCTGCTCTGGGCTTTAAAGTGGTGTCCGAAAAAGGCAAGGAACTCCTTCTCCCATCAGGTTTGGGACATTACGGCTGGAGGAGAAACACTGGAGACATTCACAGGCATCCAAGGATATTGGTTTCTCGCTGGCTTCTTGTACTTCCCTAAGTATCTGACTCTTTTTGCCTGGTACCACTGGAGGTACCTGCTAGATGATAGTATTTGAGGAGTGAAGCCTCTGTGAACACCTCCCTGAACCAGTTCATCGGGCTCCAATGGATCAGTGATTTCTCTTGACTTCTGTTGACACCTTTCCAGTACGTTGCCTCCAAAGTGTATCCCCACTTTGGTCTGGAAGTTCTGTGGCTGCCCTGTACCGCTGAGGTCTACATTTTCCAGTTGGGAGGGGACTATAGGGAGAGAGGGAGGGGTTGCTGGAAGAAGAAGAAGAAAAAAAGAGCTAGATAGAGGAGGGGGCATCCCTCCCACTCCCGCCCATCCCCTCACCCCACTTCCTCTCCGGACCCTCAATTCTACACCACGGTGTCCGGGACCATTTTGACCCTGTCGGCCCCGGCACCCCCCCGCCGCACCCCAGCCCCGAGCATGGGGACGGCGCTTCTCCAGCGCGGGGGCTGCTTTCTCCTGTGCCTCTCGCTGCTGCTCCTGGGCTGCTGGGCCGAGCTGGGCAGCGGGCTGGAATTCCCGGGCGCCGAGGGCCAGTGGACGCGCTTCCCCAAATGGAACGCCTGCTGCGAGAGCGAGATGACCTTCCAGCTCAAGACGCGCAGCGCCCGCGGCCTCGTGCTCTACTTCGACGACGAGGGCTTCTGCGACTTCCTGGAGCTCATCCTGACGCGCGGGGGCCGCCTGCAGCTCAGCTTCTCCATCTTCTGCGCCGAGCCCGCCACGCTGCTGGCCGACACGCCGGTCAACGACGGCGCCTGGCACAGCGTGCGCATCCGCCGCCAGTTCCGCAACACCACCCTCTTCATCGACCAGGTGGAGGCCAAGTGGGTGGAGGTCAAGTCCAAACGCAGAGACATGACGGTGTTCAGCGGCCTCTTCGTCGGGGGGCTGCCCCCGGAACTGCGCGCCGCCGCGCTCAAGCTCACTCTGGCCTCGGTGCGGGAGCGCGAGCCGTTCAAGGGCTGGATTCGCGACGTGAGGGTCAACTCCTCGCAGGCCCTGCTCCTGGACAGCGGGGAGGTGAAGCTGGACGACGAGCCGCCCCACAGCGGCGGCGGGAGCCCGTGCGAGGCGGGCGAGGAGGGCGAGGGCGGGGTGTGTCTCAACGGAGGCGTGTGCTCCGTGGTGGACGACCAGGCCGTGTGCGACTGCTCGCGAACCGGCTTCCGCGGCAAGGACTGCAGCCAAGGTAAGGGCCCGACGGCCGACCCCGGGGCCTCGGCCTGGGCAGGGCGCGGGGAGGCCGGGCGAGGCAGGTGGGCCGGGCTGGTGCATGGGGCCTTCCTTCTCTGGACGTCGCTTCGAGGTGAAGATCTGTTTCTTGCTGCCTCTCTCCCTAACCACCACCCACAGCTCCTCCCTTGGCATCCTCTTAATGGTTGAGCAGACTCTGTTTCCAGGCTGAGTTTCCTTCTGTGAGCCCTTTCCTCCAACCCTACTTCCCTCCAAGTGGCAAGTAGAATGACTCCTCTTTTCCATTCCTCGGGGTCCTTGCCAGGCAGATGCCCATATTCATTGGGCCATGACCCACCTGCATCACCACTATACGTCCTTCTACCATCTCTGAATCTAGAATGCACAGGCAAGCATTCCGAAGAAGACTGGGCGTGCACTTGGTGAAGAATGAGGTGGAGGGCGGTTCATCATGGGCATGTTTGAGATTTCCCACGTGGTTACTCTAGGACAAGGGAGACAGGATTCGTAGGCATGGCTATGCCTTTTGCACGGAGAGGGTAAAGACCTGCTCTTGGTTGTGGAAAAAGTGGGAGAGCATGCAAAGATTGTCTTGGCTAGAGGGAGAAGGGTACTTGGAATTCATGTTGGTTCCCATGGTGATGTCCAAGTCCAACATTTGTCAGTTAAGTAAAATTCGGTGATTTCTGTGGTTTCTTGAAGTGGAAGAAGGGTCGGCTAATGTTTAGATGTTAGAGATTAAATAATCTATTTCTCAGTTCACAAATCTACATCGGGAAGATAAATAGTAGAAAAATTTAGAAATTGCTGGATTGGGAGGCTTCTGCAGGCTAATAAACAGGAAATGCATGTGCAGGATTGCAAGAGATTTTCTGAGGCTTTTCAGCTACAGTCCTATATCTGAGTAGTGGAGATCAAGCTGTAATTTCTGTTGTTCTTAGGGCTTGAAACAATGTGGGATTGAAAAAAAAATAAAATCATACCTGAGGGTTTTTTCCCCCCTCCTAACAAATAAAATCCAGTAATTAGTGTGTTTCCGCAATGATGCTGCATAACAGTGACCAACAGAAAATATTGTTGAGTGAAGACAGAAAAGCCTATAAACAGAAAGCGATCTGGAAAAGGTGAATCATGGATGTATCAGTGGCTAAGCAGGAGATAAGATGGCAGAGATGTAAACTAGATAAATTACAGGTCAAATCAAATCAGCTAATACATGGATAAATGCATTTGTGGCTGAAGAAAAAAGGTGAATTGTTAGATCTGGTTTTGAAAGCTTTAGGGACAAAAGCTGTTTGTGTATCTGTGTTTTACTGTGTCATGTCTTCTCTCTCTCTCTGTTTCTCTCTCTCTTTTTTGCTGACTCTGCGAAGGGGAACTGGCCCATGTAAATCTTATTAGGCTTGGCAGTTCTCTCTCACCTGACTTTTGGAGAAGTGAAGACATGATAAAATTTATAATTGGCTAAACAGTAAATGGAATCGGTTAGGGAAAGAAAAGGCTAGTCGTTAGGGGGGTTCTGTAGCCTTTGTGGGTTTAGAGAAAAAGAGTAAAGGGTTGTATTGTGCTCTGCCTTCATGTGGGTATTTGTTTTCTTTACATTTTGGCTGAAGTTTTTCTAGAAGACTGTCTATTCCTTGGCCTATACTGCACTTCAGCTTTGCCGGTAAATTTCCACAGATTTAAGATCAGGCTTTCCAGTTATGTTTTACAATGGCAAAAGAGTACATTTGTTTTCTTCTACCAAATCCAACTTAAGTGTAAATACTGCATAAGATAGCTAGATATGATGATTTGTTATAATAAAATGTGCAGTTAGGTCCCTTTGCACGTGTTTAATAGAAACAAATAAAAAAAGGAACACTATTTTATGGGAAAAATTGCTCTAAGTATCCCAGTGCTACTTTAAAAGATAGAGAAGGCAATTCGGAGAAGGACACATGAGATGTAACTTCCACCCTTAAATTAGGAAACAAATATGATACAATGACAGCTTGTACTGTGTGGGAGGGTGTTTTAAATGAAATTTTTTATTTTTCTGTGCATTTTTAATGTGGGGATCCAGGGATCATGCATAATCAGGAAGAGTGCTGAGTAGAGAAAGCCTGGAAAAAGTAATACATTAAAGAGAAGCAGACTTAGATGTCTCTGAAATATATTGTGTTTTGGCAAATGGGTAGCTCTTTTTGTAAGATGAAGAATTCAGAATTACCCAGATCCATAATTGAACGATAGTACCTGATGCATAGGATAATTCAACCCAGAAAAGCAAATCCATCAGGATTGTTCAGGAGCTCTGATTCATTTTGAAAATTTGAGCTGAAAACGGAGTGCAGAGATCTCCACTAGTCATGAAAGACAAACAAAAGGGTGGCTGCCTTTGATTATCACAGAAACGAGAAATGGAAGGATAAAGGCATTATCAGTCTTCCCAGAAGGATTGGCTCCATTTTGCTTATATTTTTCTGTTACATGCGTGTCAAGTGACTATTGAATAATTAATTGAGAATGGATGCCTCTCCCAACACCAATCAGATATTAATGGCTAGGGATAGATGATTTCTATTCAGATGAAGTATAAATAAAGCCTTGCCTTCAGCCAGTATTTACACTGATTGCTGTCATTCTTTTTGAAAATTAATTTAGAAACAAATAAATCCACATTCATTAGAGAAAATTTAGGAAAAAAATGAACAGACAAGCAAACATAAACACAAATTTTTTAATAATCTGTTTCCAAATATAATTCCTTTTTTCAACTTAATAAAAAATCATCTAATATCATTTTAGTTATTTTCATATTGAAAATATAATCAGGATTATGAAAAAGACAATATGAGTATTCTCTGCTCTTTTCCCCCAGCCTATATAGTACCTTGAAAGAACTTATGCACCTCTGCATTTCTAGAATGTTTTTATTTAATAAGCTTAGTCTCATCCATATTCTGTTTATTCAGGCCCAGCACACTTTATTTTTTTATTTATTGAGGGAGGTAGGACACTGGAGAGGTTATGGGTCATGTCCAGGTTAGTGGCAGAGCCTGGGAGACAGCACAAATGTTCTTATTCCTGAGCCCTGTATTATTATTCCTGCTGAATAAAATTTTTATTTCATTCAGGTTCAGTTTTTTTTTTTTCCCCTCAGATTCAGGTATTATTCAGGAGAAAAAAATATATCTGATGGAACAGAACCAATTTATGCATTTCTTATATTCTGTGACCCCAAGAGTCACCTCAGAACTGGACTATCTGAGCTTGTTATCCTTCCTGAATGATGACGCTTGTGAGGCACAGAGCTTTTTCAGTGAATCATGCTAGTCTAAGTGCGCCCCCATTATAATTTAATATGTTTCTTCTTATGAGTACTAATAGTTTCCTAGCAGCTTGAAATAATTGGGAATTCCATAGCTATACAGCTAACAAGCAAGAATAAGAGGCTGATGGATGAGAAACTAAGTTATACTTCTTATGATTTCCAGGTCTATGTCTCATGCATTTTAGTATCACTTATATTAAAATTACATACTAGGTTGTGAGTGTCACCTTTTCTTACCTGCTCTGTCTACATGGCCATAATACGTACGGCTGGTGTTGACAGATGGCTTGATATTACTGAATGTGGCAGTGTGGTAGATGTCATTTAATAAAACTCCTGCTGTCTGTGGCTTTACTAATGTCAACGTATTAACTCACTCACGCACTCATTCACTCACTCACTCTTTTATTCAACAAATATTTGTTGAGTGCTTTGTATGTGGCAGACAAAGTACTAGGCTCAAGCAAGAAAATGCTGAGTAAACTCAGGTATTGTCCCTACCACCTTCATAGACCTCACTTTCTAATGAGGAGGTACATTAGTTAAGAAGAAAATAAATAGAAAATTATAATGGTGGGGCGTATTTTGAAGAAGTACATGGTACAAAAAAAAACAAAACCAAACCTGTTGCCGTCAAGTTGATTCCAACTAATAGTAACCCTATAGTACAGAGTAGAACTGCCCTACAGGGTTTCCAAGGAGCGGCTGGTGGATTTGAACTGCAAACCTTTTGGTTAGCAGCCAAGCTCTTAACCACTGCACTGCATGATACTGGGAGGAATTAAAAGAGTGTGAGTTGACCTAATCAGGGAAGACTTTCCTGAGGCGCGCTAATTAAAATGAAATCTGAAAGACGAGAAGTTTACCAGCTACGGGCAGAGGATAAGCATTATGTAAAGAAGCCTGGTGGCAAGAGATGGCATGACACAGACTGAGAGAAGACCCTTAAGTATGGAGCTCTTAGAGAGAGGAGTGGGGCCAGGTGATGCAGGGCCTCATAGACCATGCCAAGGATTTTAATGCTTATCATCAAAGTGATGGAAAGGCAATGGAAGGTCTTTAGTGTGGAGGGTGGAAGGAAGGTAGCATTATCACATTTTTATTTAAAAAATACAGCTCTGGCTACAGTGTAGAGAACAGATGAAAGCGAGCCAGGAAAAAAGAGAAAACATTATTTTCTGTTTGTCAATCAACAGCATTTGTTAATCACCCACTGTAAGATGTAGGCTGAACTAGGGGGCAGCGAGAAAAATAGGCTTCTTTCTCTAAGTAGTTAGAATCTTTGTGAACTTGGTTAGGTATAGAAATCTAAGGCCATTCTTTATTTAAAACATTTTGGTTGAACCCAATAAAAGCATTGTCTGAATCACTTATTTGGAATGTCACGTGATTTGTCTCATATATACAATTGAATTTACGGGCTTCTGAAGGCCAGTGGCAGTGCCAGACTTTATTGTACTCCCCCCCAGTCTTGCTGAGAGTGTCTTTTTTTATGACAATACATATTGGGTGTTTGATTTTAGCCCTTTAGTATTTCAACTGCTATAATAAAGGAGAATTATTATGTAGGGGCTGATAATCTTCTGTAAGTTTTTAAAAAATTTAAGTAGCTACTGTATAGATATTAAGAATAAACAAAAACAATTCAGAAATTTTGCCAGAACTTTGTTTGAAGTCTG